TATATATATTACTTTTATTATTATTTATAAAGCAATATTGACTGTTTTAAATATTTTTTTTAAAACTAAACAAAGGCTAATTTGTATAATTTCAAAAATAAATTATTTAACCTGCATAATGTGAGTTAGTTTTACATTAATTATTATTTTAATTACAAAATAAATGAATTAATTTTTCTAGATATTGTTTTTAAATTTTTACAGAAAAGAGATTTTTTTCTATAAATCAAAGACTTTCAATTATATTTCTAAGATACATAAAGTACAAAAAATATAATTTTTTTTTTATTCATACCCATTTAGTTGCTTGATTTAGCATTTCCTGTCTTGCTGAATCAAAAGTATGGCCTTTATTCAATTCTTCTTCAGCCAATTGAACCATTTCTTTAGCTGCCATATGAGAACCATTTGCTCTTTCAAATCTAAGTGCTGCTTTCTGAGTTTCATTCTGAAGCTTCATTAAAAAAACAAAAAAAGTCAAGTTATTTATATACTGTATATTAAAATATTTTTAAAATTTTAAATATTAAAAAAAATTACTAAAAAGTTAATAGATTTGTTAAAAAGTAATTTGTAGAAAAATTTTAAGATAAACTAATAAAAGAATTTATTAAACATTCAATACTTGATCATCTCAAGTAATTTATTTGTGAATGATAGCATTATTACTTTTATATGATGAACAATAATTTTATATGTGATAAAATAGAAAGTAAAGTTAAATAGAAAGTAAAAATTTTTGAGTTGCAAAAATTCATATTAAAAGGTTACTTTTTAGATTAAAATGTTTAGTGTGTAAAAAGAAAATAATATTTATTAATTTAAAAGAAACAGTGATTAAAATCTTAAAATTCTTCAAGTATGATTAATTATACAAGTTTTCTATATATATTATGTAATTAAACTAATTTTATTTGTGTTTTTATATCATCTGCTTTTTATAAATTTCAGATTATAAAATGAGATACATCTATCAAATTATTTCCAATATGATTATTAAGGTTCTTCATTTCTTTTAGTGATTCAAAATTGATTATTATAAAAAGATATATTTAAAAGGTTTAAATTAATAAGATGATCTTAATCATTTTATTAGTTAGATATTATGGTATTAAAAATTCACATTTATTGAAAACCAAAACATTTCTAAATTATAAGCAATCTAGCAGGTAAGCCCAGCATTGCCTGGGCAAAAAAATAAGAACGAACATTAAGATTATTAGATTATTTCGTACTTCTAACACTTCTATTATATTACATTATAGTACTGTATTTGATTTATATGAATACAAAGGTTATCTTACATAAGGGTTTATCACACCAAGTGTCTTAACACACAAGAATTCTTTATTCCTCTAATGTACACAATTTAAAAAAGTTTTTAAATGTATTAGATTGGTCACTTAAGTATGATGAACTCTTATATAAGATAACCTTTGCTATTATAAAAATCAAATGCTATAATCTCAAACATTAAAACAAAAACCATATAAAAATTTGGTTATTTTAGCCTACCATTGTCATGTTTATCACAATACTCAGATGTACAAAATGGTATAATTTCATTGGTCAAGTAGACACAAATTGAAGATATGATATCATATTTAAAAATTTTTTAAGATATTATTTTTTATTTCTAATGTTAGCTCTAACAAACTGTTTCATTCACAGCCAAATATCAAATGGTAATCCGCCAAGCAATCAAATTTCATGCAAAATGGACCAAATGTTTAAAATCAGCACCCTTGAAAACCACTTGAATCATATGTTGTGTTCACCAGTAACCTTGTATTATGTAATTTTCCTATTTGAATGCCACCCATAACACTAGGTCTGGGCTTTTCCCTTGAAGTTTTACCACAGTAATTTGAATTAATATGAATGATAATTCATACTTTAAAATCAATAACACTTCAAATACAATAACCTGATCTGAATGCGGAACAATTTCTTTAATTATTGAGTTATATTGCATTCACATACAATCCATGACTCAATTTGATCTCCATTTACCCACAATCTCAATTGTAATTGTTGCTAGTCAAACATTGATCTGTTCACACAGTCAGTCCACTTGAGAAAAACCTGGCTATTGCAAGCAATGATAAAATTGACATAACTACATGGTAAGTCACAAACACCAACAAACAAAATGGAAGTTTTGGTTAGAAATAAATACTTTTTGTTGCCATATATCTAATAATAGCCAGATCCATCGTCTCTCCAAATATCTTTTTTTATTTCTCTGTCGATATCCCAACACTTGTTCCACAGCCATCTTGTTTTTTCTCACACATGTGGTATTGTGGAAACTCTCTTATGACTAAATCTAGTTTCAAAAACTCTCTTGAGTCAATCACGATTGAAACGATCAAGAGAGGTCATACCACAGCATAGTCGCCGACCTTGATCACAATCTAGATTGAAGTGCTCAGTGCGAACAGGGTATTACAATTTGAAAAAATTGCAGACCTGGAAATTCCCACTGTTGCTGTCTGTTCTTTCTTAATCTCGAGAAAGAAGTTAGATAGATGAACATCAAGACTGGATATGGATGGCTTAAGAGCAGGAGGCCCATATTAACTATATACAAATTTCTGGTTTGCACTGGAATCAAGTTATTTCAATTCAAAAATGTTTTCCTGAACAGAATTAGATACATCTACTGCTAACAGGAAAAACACGATGTACAAGGTAAAACACTATACCAAGGGTGGGCAACCTTTTTTATAACATGGGCCAGAATAAATTTTACGTTTTTTCCGTGGGCCATAGTAGTTAATTGACACCTTGTGACCTGTAAATTTTTAGTCTGCAAATATTAAATAAATAAATAAATAAAAAGAAATTAATTACTACAGTCGACCCCCCTATAACACTGTTGATTATTCCGTTTTATATGAATTCCATGTTGTATGAGTCACTTAGATTTTACAAATGCGTGTGCCGGGCTGTGAACGGCTCACCTATTTGTAAAATCTAAGTGACTTTAAACACAATAAAAACAGCACTATGTAGTTGGATACGACAGACATTACATTTTCTAATTGCATAGCTTTTGCACATAGATTTTCTTGATGGATGATGCGATGAGATATAAATAATGTAGAAAAATTCTGTTCTCCCATTTTTTTGTTTGACTAAGGAAATGACTCCCTTATTTTTTCCTGTCATTGCTGCCGCAACACTTCAGAAAATAATATTCAATTTAAACTATACGAATTACATTGAAAAATATTTATTTATAATTTCTTCTAAACATCTTGCGGGCCGGATAGAAACTCTTCGTGGGCCGTAGCTGGCCCACGGGCCGGGGTTTGCCCACCGTTGCACTATACTATATGCAGACAAGTGCTATGTGCTACCTGTGGTAATGGCATAATAGCATGTAACAGTGTGTTTATTTCATGCTATATTATTCTCGCAGTAATTAAGTGAATATAATATATATTTTTTTTAAAATTATATCCTTTTTTGTAGGAATAATTATATAGTTTATCATTTTCTTAAATTTTCTGCCAATAGATGGCACTATGTGTAAATCATCAAATTGAATGTAGATAGAAATTAATTGATTTACAGAAATCCAATTGATATTTTGGGGTGGGATGTACAACATTATCTAAGTTAGAAGCATGTAAACGTAACTGCCAAGTTTTGTAGCAGTTGGTCAAATGGTCTAAGCATGCTTAACAAACAAACATCCTCATTTATATATATATAGATTAAAATAATATCTAACTTTGTTTACTATTAAGATTTTCAACTGTTTGAAGATCTCAAAAATTTAAAGACAGAAACTTTTAAACTCTTCTTCTCTGTGGGCACTGAGAGTCCTTGTTTTGCAAGTGAAGCCTATAAAGGGTTCAGCCAGGCCCACGATGGGTAGCTGTATGGTAAGGGATAGGAGCTAATGTATCCAGGTCAACCATTAATGAAAATATTTAAGCCAAGTGACAAAATACTATTGTACTATTATTTTACTATTTTTGTTGATTTTGCCAACTTTGTTGTCACTTTTGAATCATTACTGTAGCTACATTCTGCTGAATTTTTATATGAAACCCATAACTTTTTTATTTTGAATGTGTTCTTGCAGAATACATCCAATTGCACCAATGATCTCTTATGCAGATTCAATTACAATAGTTTTAAGTAAATATGGTAAGAAATAAAGTAGGAAGAACATAGAAAGATTCAAGTATCTTGAATATTAATTAGTCATCATTATAACTTTATTTTGCTTTTGTGGTTCTTAATTTAATGATAAGTAATTAACATTCAAAAATGCTTGAATCTTTATGTTTCTTCTATTCCATTACAGCATTTTTTACCATATGTTCTTTATTTTCAGAATATTAATCTTATAGTATAATGTAAAAAGTGTTTATGAAGCATTTCTGCAGTAGTTTTTCTATTCAATTAAGGTATTCAGTCAACCAGAAGAAAAATGCTTAAAATTAAACAGATTTTAAGCTGTAAAATACATCAACAGATTTCACTGTTCAATATGAAATATTAAGTGTCTAACCAACTATAGAAGAGTAATTTTTTCCTATATATACCAAATGCAACCTGTAGTTGATGAAAAAAACAATACTGAAAAACATTGCAACCATGGTAATTAATTACAAAATATTGCTTAATGTCAATTTTATATAAAATAGTTTCAAAACAGTCAAGTTTTATGTCAGTATGATAAAACGCTCTCAAACATTTTTAATACAAAAAAACAACCATTTATTTTGTTTAGAACTTTACAGAAACGTAAATAGTTATAGGCATGAAAGACAGTTGCTTGTAGCTAAGTTCTTAAACAGGTAATCATTAGTTTGGGAGGAACCCCTATTTTGGGTTCCTCCCAAACTAATGATTACCTGTTGAAGTTGTTTTTCTTGTTACAGTAATCTAGCTTTCATTAAATCATATTATGCTTTTCTTATTAACACCATTCAGAATATAAAAGTTCAGAAACTAACATTCAATAGAGAGAATGAACTTATCTGAACAATTTAAGAATAGTTCTTGCAAATACTTAGTACAAAAGGGAAGTTTTCATTTAAAAAATTTGAAAATCTGACTGATAAAATTCAGGGCACAAGACTGCACTATAGTATAATACATGCACTGCACAGAAATGATAAAATTGCATATAGATCAAAGTTTCATTACCATATTTAAGTATATTTGACTTTTGTTGGGAGTGCATCCTAACAAAAGTCAAAATAAAAAAATATTTCCACCATATAACAATATTATAAATAACAAATATTACAGATTTACTGAAAAAAGAAAATACAAAAAATATTTACAGTAGTTCCCTACATTTGTGAGAAACACACACATGGATGTCCACACATACTATTCTGAGAATTCAGAGAAAATACTTTGCTTTTTTACAAAATTTTTGTTATATTTTGTTGAAAATTATTTTTGCTTATTTTTGCTTAATTTTTTTGTAAAATGTATGAAATTAGAGAAGAAACTTCCTTTCTGTTAAAGTGTGATAACACCATTTTCTTCAAATTTGATAGTTACTAGTATGAGATATTCCAATACTTGTCAGCTAAACCACCCAACTTCCATCATGTGTAAAAAGAATGGAACTCGTATTTTGACAATTTTAATTGAATAAGTTCTCCATTCTCCGCTTAAAAAGGAGAGGTCACCCTCACACTTCTCTGGCAATCCTCTGGCAGTCTCCCACTTAGAAATTTGTGTGGGGCTGCAAAATCCAAAACCTCCAACACACACAAGGAAAAGGGAAAGAAATTAAAAGATAAAGAAAATACCGTCAATTTAGAAAATAATTTGTGAAAATATTATGAGATATATTATAATTAAGTTACTATGTAAACTCTCTCTATCCTATTGAAAGGAAAATTCAATAACTATACCTTAATTATTGAATCAATTTTCAATTTGATAATTAGGGTATAGTATGAAAACCTATATTAAATGGAAATTATACAATTGTATTTGTAATCTCAATTAATGTTATTATCTATAATTTTTGTAATAAATTGAATTTCCTTTTAATATTGAGTGTGTGTATGTATGTGTATATATATATATATATACACAGTAGAGCATTGATTATCCGAATACTGATCCCTAATAAAATTATACTGCAAAACAATTATAC